TTCCTACACCTCCTGTCCGAGGAGTGGCTTCTTCCCCTGCAATCTCCCTTGGACAGCAGTCCACTGCAACATTAACTCCCTCTCCAAGAGAAGAAATGCAACCTATGCTTCAGGCGCATCTTGATGAGCTGACCAGGGCATATCAGTTTGATGTAGCAAAGCAAGCATGGTAAACGCGAACATTATCAACATTTAAATCCCACGCAAGTGGATGATTAAAGACCAATAGGGCCTAGATTCTGCAGAGACATAACTGTATACTAAATAGATAGATAGATAGATAGATAGATAGATAGATAGATAGATAGATAGATAGATAGATAGATAGATAGATAGATGCAGATTCTTTCCTCTTGGCAGAATTATGACGTGAATGGCTTTATCACTCAAACTGCCAACTAGTGAATAAAAAGAGGTTTCTTGACTTCTGTGGCCATTTGATTAAAAAAAAGTTATCTGCTCTGTTTAAGGTGAATTATAACATGGATCCCTTTGCTTCCCCATTTCAAAAGCCCAGAAAATAGGCATATAAAATATACTTTTTATATAAGGACTAGTGAATCATAAAGAAAAAGTTACATGTAAACAAGTAGTGATCAACTACGTACGTGTAGTCCCCAGTTTAAGAACAAGTTCCATTTCCACGGTCTGTTTTTAAGTCAAATTTGTATGTAAGCCACAACAGTATTATTATATAATAGTGTATAAGTAGTATTGTGTAATTAACTCAAACCATTGCGTATTTAACTCAAATCATTGTGTATTTAACTCGAATTTTGCTACAATAGGCTCCATTCTTTACTATGGGTCGTCCATAAACTGAACATTCTTAACCTGGGGAATACCTGTACCTCTTTCATTTTGCTTTTATGCTTGAATTGCTAGTTCATATATTCCATTCCGAAGCCACATCACGTTAGGTACAAGCCATCAGCTGTATCTGTAGGACTGATTAAGAATAATTTTGTGGAATATCTGGATGTATAACTATTGAAGCAGATTGGAAGTTTAAAAATATATGCATCAGGTTCATCTTTTTCAATTAATTGGCAAGCTGTTCCTGGATGCATTGCACACCAGTTCAAAGTTCATCTGAGCAATCATGGTAAACTGAATGTATGATCTTGATATATAAAGTTGTAATAGGATACAAGACTGGGAAAAAAGTATAGTTATTTGGCCTGAATTACAAGATGTACCTTACATGCTATTGCCCCAAGTTTTTAAAGCATCCCATAATGTCAAACTGAAGCTTTTGTAGGATTTTACTATTCAGCTTAGAGCTAGTAGCAACTAACATTTGAAAGAGTACTGCTACATACATATCCTGTGTATCAGTTTCATCCATCAAACTGGTTATGGATGCTTAGGTTTCCAAAGTACAAAACCAGGAATTTGAACCTGACTTATTATAAAGGGGTGGTAACACTAAGCATGCATTCACAAATAGTGGTCTCATTTAGTGATCATTAGTTTGAAATGAACAAAATTTATATCTTTCCATCCAGCCATTCTAGATTAGGTAAAGACCACTGCTATAAAAATATTTTTTTAAAAAAAATTCTTAATTGTAACCTATAGATTTATCAATTCCTAAATAAAGCATGTATCATTAAAATATTAATTAGTGTAAGTGGTAATTTTACCTTCTTCAGTGATTCTCTCTCTTCTGTGCAATAACCCAAGTATTACTCACTAGTTCTATCTTTACGATTTCAACAGAGAATTGCTGGAAGGGCTACAGTTAAGTTACTGTACCCTATTGAAGTGAAACCCAGGGATGGGACAATGAAACCCATACTCCCATGCAGTATTCATAAAGAAAACTGCTATGTGCATGGAATAATGGATGGATGGATTGGAATGGGAGAGAAAATATAATGGAATTTCCTTTAAAGTATGTGCCAGAATGTTCTCTATCCTTCAAAAGAGAACTGACTACTTCTCTTAATGTACAGGTCTTTTCATGCAAAGATAATATGGGTATATTGCACTTTTTTGGGCGGCCACTCTGAATCCATGTGAATGAAGACTGTGGAGGGAGATGTTTGTAAAATATGTTGCATTTTTGCCTTCAAATATTGGGTATCATTATTCTAGGGTATTTCATATTGTTTCACTTGTTGCCAACTTACCTTTTTCTAAGTTGACTTCATAATATAAGCACCAAATGCAGGCACAGTTTTTAATGTTTTTTTTTTTTAAAAAAAAATAATAATCTAGTTGATATGCCCAGAGACTATACAGCTGTAAGGGCTAGAAGTATTTTTAAATGCTTAAAAAAAAAACAACCTGTGAATCTATGGGTAATGGCTTATGCTGCAGGAACATGCTGACTCCCTTGCTCCTTGTCATCTGAAAGCCCATGGATTTTGGAAGAATTGGTGTATTCATAGACTCTATCTGAAAAGAGCAGGTTAAAGGGTCAATCAATTAGTTTCTGTACTGCTTCTGTGACCTCGGAGAAGCAGTGATAAATGCTAAAATCTTTTCATTTCTC